CTCTCTCTCTCTCTCTCTCTCTCTCTCTCTCTCTCTCTCTCTCTCTCTCTCTCTCTCTCTCTCTCTCTCTCTCTCTCTCTCTCTCTCTCTCTCTCTCTCTCTCTCTCTCTCTCTCTCTCTCTCTCTCGTTCTCATTTTATATATGTATGTCACACAAGAAGTAGGAAATCAAGTGCACATGAGCACACACTATCTATACAAAATGCCATCAATCTCTCAGAAGAGCTGAGGCAAGGAAGTAAATGGTGATTCTGAAAATGATCTGAGAGAATGTGATAATTTTATGCTTGCAAATATAACTAGTCCAGTCATAAAGGAGAACTGTATAAGCAGTGTGCATTGAGCATCAATGACAAAAATATGCTTTAATCTAACTTTCAGGCTTCTTTTCTTTTGTACCCATTTGTTTTTTGGAGAGTTAACATTATTTGAGACCTTAATGATCTGCTTTCCTCATCTCTGACACTCACTCTTAGCTTTGCGCCTTCTTTCATGCCTTGTCAAATACTTGAAATAGCGTCTCATTTTCATGTGGCAGGTGCCTTCCATCTTCTTCAATTTTTTCAAAATTTTTTACAAGAGACTTACAAATGTTTTCTGCAAATATCCATTTGAATTTCCTAACCAATCTGCCATGCCCACAGATACACAGATGCCAAGGCCAGCCAGGACCACTGTGAGCATCTAGTCTGACCTCCGGTATTACACAGGTCAGAAAACTCAAAATTAATTCCTAAGGGTATATATCTTTTAGAAACACATCCAATCTTGGTCTAAAAATTGTCAGGGATGGAGAATCCACCACAATGCTCTCTAAATTATTCCAATGGTTAATTACTCTCATGATTAAAAATTGACACCTTGTCTGAGTTTGATGAATTTCAGCTTCCAGACCCTGGATCGTGCTATTCCTTTCACTGCTAAACCAAAAACCTATTAAATATTTGTTCCCCATGTAAGTGCTAATAAAAAGCAATCAAATCACCCCAAAACCTTTTCTTTATTAAGATACATAGATTGAGCTCCCTTAGTCAAGCACGATAAAGCAGTGGTCCTCAACCCTTTGGGGCTGCCAGGAGCCTGGGGGCGAGGCATCGCATGCACCATGCGCCCGAGGCGCAAGAATGGCTTGGGCCGGCCCTGGTCACTCGGCGGGTGCACACAAATGCCCCGGCTTGTGCTATGGCGCCCGCGGGCACTGCGTTGGGGACCACTGCTGTATACAGTATATACTGTATATAAAGTGTTTTAACCCTTTTTATTGTGCATACTGTATATAATATACTGTAATGTTTTAGTTTTTTTAACCCTTTTCACTCGGTTCAGCTGCTTCCTTGAGGAGTTCTACAGACATTAAAACTAAGAAAAGGAGTAACATGAAAACTAAAACACTTAATTCTGGTGTAATTGTCAGATCAGCTTTTAAAGCCAAAAAAAAAAAAAATGTTCTAGTTTTGTAATTACAAAGAAGCATTTAAGTTGACATAATAAAAATATGTACAAACAGGGATATGCCAGAAAAACTGGCGGTCAGACTGATAAAAATAGCAATGATGGTGATGACATTTCTAGTGAGGAGTCAAGTCATGACTCATCTGATGAGTAAAACTCATCGTGATAGTTAAGTATTATGTATTAAATATTCTATTCATTTTATATGAAACGAAAATCTTTTATATTTGAAGTGTTCCTTTATTTATCATATATAACTGAAATGTATTCTGAAGTGTATACTGTACTGATTTTACCTTGAGTAAAATAATTAAAATGTTTTATTATTCTTTCATTTTATGAAATACCATCCATGAAGTAATTAAGGATATTTGGATATATAAAAATAATTATTTTTGGATGAAAAGTTCAGCTTTAATAACATTATATTTTTAATTATAAAGAGCATCATAAAATCATCTAAATTATTGTCATATATTTCGAGTTAATTATATATATATATATATATATA